AGAGCAGGTACTATTTGGGTGGTGGATCATTCTCAGCACTGCAGTAACACTGATGTGGTGGTGGTGTGTTGGTGTGTGTTGTGCTGGTCTGAGTGGATCAGACACAGCAGTGCTGCTGGAGTTTGCTGGAAACTCCGGTGTCCTCCCACAGTTCCGCAGTTAAGCTAATTGGACTCGCTAAATTGCCCCTAGGTGTGAGTGAATGTGTGTGTCCGTCTGCCCTGCGATGGACTGGCGACCTGTCCAGGGTGTATCCTGCCTTCCGCCCAATGACAGCTGGGATAGGCTCCAGCACCCCAGTGTCCTGAATTTCTGTTTTTGTTTAAATAGTTTTTGTTTAAATAGTTCTTTCAGTTTAGTTTTCAGTTTCAGTTTCAGTTTACATTTGTGCATTCAGTGTATTAATGAAAATAATCCTGAATTAGACAAAAATGATCAGATTGAATAAGATTGTATTGAAACTAGAGGTGGGCAATATGGCAAAAATGTAATATTGCAACACATGAAGAATTTTTCATTATACACAATGTCACAATATGTTTTTTTTTCTGACATTTGATCAATTTGGAACAGACAAAGTCATGCTATCAAAATATAAAATATGTCAAAATATAAAAACCTATGAATACAATGATTTGCATTCAACATTTCACACACTGCGCTGCACTAAATCCAATTAAACAGGACTACTGATGCATTCTTTGTAATGAAATATGCAGCTGGGGAGTGTTTTTAGGCACTGACAATGTTCACAATATGCTCATAAAAGCTTATTGTGACATGCTGTGATGTAATTTATGACAACAGTGATAAATATTGTCATATTGCCCGGCTCAGGTTGAAATCTGAGATGATGCACAGAATTATGTCCTAAAGTAGCTTAACTGAATCCTTGTGAGGTCAGAGTTTTACACCCTTAACACTCAAATCCTTGCAGCAGTTTATTATAGAGTAACAATAAAACCCCTTAATAACAAAGCCTGACTGTGCTCCCTACTGGCAAACACAGAGCACTGCATTATGGGGGTCTGGGGTGGGGGCTGCGGGAATGAAAAAGACTCCAACGGCTCTGATTGGTTGTGGCTTCCCATCGATGACACAATAAAAATCCCTGCTATAATCACCTTCATAACCAGCATCTGTTACAAAATGCCACCGATCATCACCATCAGCAGCAGGATCAGGGCTCATTTTCTTTACAGCCTTCACAAACACGCTGAAAAAGAGCTGTTCTAATAGAAGAGAAAAGAGCCACACCTGTGGAATCTCAATGAGACACACAAGGACAAGGTTCAAAACGCTCTAGGCAGCCAGACGTGACCGGGATCAGTGGCAGCCAGCGGCCGTTAGAGGGCAGTGCGTCGACGCTGAGCCAGAAAAGCTGCCGTATCTGCAGCACTCGGCCCCCTCACACATCCGACCGAGCTGTAAGGCAACAGTCTGCCTGCTATTTCAAGAGATACTGCAAATGCTGGGAGACTAGGAGTACACGTGAATCTCTCACACCAGCCTGCCTGGAGCGAGAGATTAGGGCTGTCACAATAGAAGACTTTGATACTGATACCAAGCGTCACAATGCTCGATACCAAACCGATCCTATGGCTAAAAATGAAAAACATGTGCTGTCACCTGAACCCCCTGAGAAAGGCCTCCGAATAAAACTGTATGGTTTAGAAAAGTGACTGAGAAAAACTGCTATATCTAATACATACATCAATATGTATCAGATCAGTGCTGGCTCTATGTAATAAGCGACATAAGCAGTTGCTCAGGGCTTCGTGGCCACCAGGGAGCCCCCTAACAACTTCTGGGTTGTCCGTGAGTTAAACTGTAACTTATTAGAACCCCAAACCAGCATCCAATCATCAGCAATACACAGTTCAGTACATGAAAAACTATAGAGAGTGATAACAAACAGTAAGGCTATCATTATGATACCAAACCACACAAAGGAAACCCTGCAACCCAGCAAACTATAAAGACATAGGCCACATAATGTCACTACACTCTTAAGATGGTTCTTCGGTTCTTCAAGAGTTCTTTAAAACACAATGGTTCTATATAGAACCATAAACACTCACAGAACCATTTGCATGATTAAATGTTTCTTTTTATGGTGAAACGGTTCGTCAGATTGATGGAGGATGTGTTGTATGTGGTTTTATATAGACCCTTTTTGAAAAGGGTTCTATACAGCACCAAAAATGGTTCTGCTATTGTTACGATGTCAAGCTCGTAACAAAGAACCCTTTTTTGGTGCTATATAGCACCCTTTTCAAAAAAGGTTTCTTTATCAATCTGCAGATCTCTTTCACGAGGCAAAGAACCCTTTAAACATGCAAATGTTGATGGTTCTATATAGACCCATCTACAGCATATTTTCCATCAATTTGAAGAACGCTTTCATGATTTAATCATGCAAAGGGTTCTTTGAGTGTTCATTGTTGTCTGTGCTGTATATGGTTGTATATAGAAGCTTTTTGTAATGCAAAGAAAAATGTAAGGATGCAAATGGGTTTTTGAGTGTTCATGGTTCTATATGGAACCATTGTTTTTATTAAACAACCCTTGAAGAACCATAATTTTAACCAACCTTTTTTTCAACGGCTTTCAAATATATGTATGTATACACACACATTTGAAAGCCATTCATTAACTGAACTGTCCATTGGAGCCTTTATGTACCTATTCAGGAACCTTTTACTGTAAAACTGTGTTCTTCAAGAAATTTTAATAATAAAAACAATAGCCTAATATAAGACTAGCCTTATGTACCTGGATAATGTCTGTGTGTACAGTCCTATCATACACTTATCATTACACTTACTTCTTTAATCTCTTCAGCATCAGATACACTGTTAGAATTTCATCAGTAGAAATATGTTAAAATGACTCGTTAATGAAAACTTCTGCTGTCAATGTATGCACAGTACCGTCCAAAGATCAGAGACCACACTCCATTTATTTAATTTCTGGTCAAATCAGCCTTTTCAGCATCAGGAAAAAGGCAGAAAACAAATATTTAACAGTAAATTCCACAAAAGCCTGAACAGCTAAACCTAATCTCAGCTGTCTGAGTGGTCAGTGAGTCACTCTTCACCTTTATTCCAGCTTCCATTCTTTTCAGGAGACTCACTTTCAGCTCCTCAAAGAATCTGCAGACACACCTCCAAAGTTCAGTCTTAGAAGCTGGTTGATCATTTTCTGAAGTAATCAAACACATTCAGTGGTGTTGAGGTCTGGACTCTGGGGTGGTCAGTCCATCGTTCAGCTTCTTTGTTTGATGTGTCCGTCTCCTTTTCTCAGTGAGGTTCTTCTTGACAGCTACACATCCTTTCAGACCCACAGCGCTGAGTCGTCTTCTCACAGTGGAAGGATGGACAGAAACACCTGTGGATGTTTTCAGATCTGAAGCAGCTTGATTTTCTCCTCTCTCTCAGAGATGAAAGCTTTAAGTGCTGTTTATCTGATGGGGGGCAGTTTTGGGGTCGACCAGGTCTTCTAGGTGGTTGTTAAGAGCCCCATTTTCTCTGAAGCCTTAAACATTTTTTGAACTTCAGTTTTTGAAAACTCACTTCTTTTTGTTTGACTTCCTCCTTCCATTTTCTGAAAAATAAATTACTTGCACTTAACCTTTAGAACCCTAAAATTTTGGAAAATTATTTGGTATTTTGGGTCATCTACAGTTACAACTGCAATTATAAAGTATCTACATGTGACAGGCACACATGCCATATGTTGTTATTTTCAGGAGACCCTGAGCTACTCAGATATGCCATTGTCTGACATGTAAATGCTAAAAGAAATTTGATATCTTTATGAATTTGGGTCATTTCTGATCAAAAATTTACCAAGCGCCTGCAAACCTTTGTATTTTTTTCATTATCGAGATCTTGAAAACAAGTGTAATTGTAGTTATCTTTTCAGAAATTGTTAGTCTGGAGTGTCTGTGAGCTGAAAGTGCAATGTTGATGGTGATTCATTCTGTTGGTTATTATGAGTAAAAATAAACAATTAGCATAAGTGCACACTTTTTTATTGATTTTCTGTCCTCTTGGATTCAGGCTGAGTGCTAAAACTCTGATACACAGCAAGATAGGCTTTATTTTTAATTACAAATTGAGCTGCATATTTAATATCAGATATTTTTAATACTCAAAATATTCAATGTAAACTGAAAGACAGCTAGAAATTATTAATGTCATAATATTTGTCATATTTATTGTTATTTATCTGTTAAAATCTATTTTAGGGCCTGTTTGTGTGATTTTGAGGGCAAGAGGGAAAGTGCACTCATTGTGTTGAATGGGACGCTGCAGTTTTATCGCCTTTTTCGCCTTTTATCGTTGAAATATAAAGGCCAAAAAGCAGTAATATCAGGATTTTAGGTGATTTTCCAAGCCAAATTACTCACTGATGCTGACGTCACAGCTCGATGATGTCATGCTTGCTTGTTAGGAACGGGTCTGGTGAATGTCCTGATATGTGGATCATGTTTGTACATTAAACCATTCTGAAGTTATGAAGACTAGAAGTAACCTACCGTTTTAGGGTCCTAAGAGTAATGGCTGTTTGGAAACTAAATGGTCGAAGGGTGGTCTCTGTCTTTTGTACGGTGCTGTATGTTAGTATTGATTCCTCTTTGTTCCATGTGTAAAGTGACCTTGAGTCCAAAAAGCTGCTACACAAATAAAATCTATTATCATTACATTGACACTGTTATTACTGCTGTATTACTGCTGTATAAATAAAAAGATATTGATTACTATCATTACATATACAATTCCAACACACCCTCTCTCTAATCCCTCTCCTTTTTCATCTCCTCTCCTCTCTCAGCTCACTCCATCTCTCGCACAAGTCCCTTCATCTGGGTTTTCTGCCCTTTCTTGTCTTTGCTCTGTGTTGATGAGGCTTGCTGTGGTGGGCAGCTGTACGTACAGGATCAGCTGTGTGGCTGGCGCACACACACACACACACACACACACACACACACTCACGCTGGCACTTGGCGCACGGATCCTTCTCATACTCCAGCTGTTCTGGCGTCTGGCTGCGGACACCGGCGGACCGCCGCAGGGCCCCGTCCTCGCGCAGGCGTGCCGCTTCCTCCTTGGCGTAGGCGCCCAGCTCCTGGGTGTAGCGGCCATACATCTACAGCACAGAGGGGAGAGTCATTAAAGAGCCAATACTCTGTGTTTCTCTTCCATTTTAGTTTTCCCTCCCTGAGGTCCATTTAGCTTATTAGCTCTGCCCGCACTCATTGGCCACTTTATCAGAAACGCCTACCATACAGGTGCACTTCGTAGATTTACAGTTACAGACTATAGACCAGCTGTTGCTGCACAGTTTTTCAGTCCTCTCTTATATTAGATATAATATTGTGTCTCCTGCAATCTAATTCATGTATAAGCCTATTAAATAAGCAGTTCAAAGCACTGAAAGACAGAGATCTGAATTTTTTACTGCATCAACAATGTTTCACAGATGCAGACCTATAGAGGGCGATACCAAACAGTAAGACTAACATTATGACACTATACCACACAAAGGAGACCCTGCAACCCTGCAACCCTGCAAACTATAAAGAAATAGGCCATATAGTGGACACTACACTCTTAAAAAAGAAGGTTCTTCAAGGGTTCCTTAGTAAAGATAGTTGTTCTATACAGAACCATGAACCATATGCATGCTTACATGTTTCTTTTTATGGTGAAATGGTTCATCAGATTGATGGAGGATGTGTTGTATATGATTCTATATATCACCAAAACGGGTTCTTCTATTGTTATGATGGCAAGCTTGTAACAACAGAAGAATCCTTTTGGTGCTATATAGAACCCTTTTCAAAAAAGTTCTATATAGAACCATATAAAACACGTTCTTCATCAATCTGAAGAGCCATGCAAAGAACCATTTAAGCATACCAAATGGTTCTTTGAGTGTTCATGGTACTATATAGAACCATTGTTTTTACTGAAGAACCCTTAAAGAACCAGCTTTTTTTAAGAGTGCATGAGGTGGAGACTATATAGAACCCTTTTCAAAAAAGTTCTATATAGAACCATATAAAACACGTTCTTCATCAATCTGAAGAGCCATGCAAAGAACCATTTAAGCATACCAAATGGTTCTTTGAGTGTTCATGGTACTATATAGAACCATTGTTTTTACTGAAGAACCCTTAAAGAACCAGCTTTTTTTAAGAGTGCATGAGGTGGAGACTAGAGAAAGGAAATTATTTCAGTTCAGACTTAAAGAAGAGCAGCATCCTGAAAGCAAGTGTACATATATAACCGCTGACACTTTTAAGGCTTTCTATGCAAAGAACACTTCACATATATATAGGCTTGTAACAATTGAAGAACCCTTTTGGGTGCTATATAGAACCATTTACAGCAAATTCATGCACATTTTCCATCAATCTGAGGAACCCTTTAACCATGTAAAGAAGCTTCTTTGAGTGTTCATGGTTCTGCATAGAACTGTTTCCTTTACTGAAGAACCCTTGAGGAACCATCTTTTTTTAAGACTCCATTTCCTAATGTGGGTGTAAAGAATAATATACATAAACTCCATTAAACTCTATTTAAAAAAGTTATATATATATATATATATATATATATATATATATATATATATATATATATATATATATATAAAAATACATACATATATACATATATATACACATACATATACACACACACATATATACATATATATATGTATATATATAATCACCTAAAATTAGGCCTATCCTTATATACCTGGACAATGCCTGTGTGTACAGTCGTATCATACACTTTCATTTTCTTTATCTTTTCAGCATCAGATACACTGTTAGAATTTCATCAGTACAAATACGTTAAAATGACTCGTTAATGAAAACTCCTGCTGTCAATATTTGTACAGTACTGTCCAAAGGTCAGAGACCACACTCCATTTATTTAATTTGTGGTCAAATCAGCCTTTTCACTATAGGCTTACAGTCACAGACTGTAGTCCAGCTGTTGCTGCACAGTTTATCAGCCCCCTTTACCCCATCCATCAACAGAAAGGGATCATCACAGGACCACCACTGACATGATATTACTTGGATGGTGGACTATTCTCAGCACAGCAGTGTCCAGCCACACATATCCAGCCAAAAGTGGCCCTGTGGTCTCAAATTGACCACTGATGAATAGCTAGAAAAGAGGACTTCAAATGATCTAAACTGCTGATGCCCCATTTGGTCATCTAGCGTCGTACCTACCAGTGACTGCACAAACTGAATTCAAGGTACAGATGTGAAGACCTCTGGGGTAGAGGACGGCTAACGCAGCGTTTACATAAATCCAGCGCAGCTTAACTTAAAAATGATGGTGCTTGAAGGGTTCTTTAGTAAAGAAAATGGTTCTATATAGAACCATGAACATTCATGAACCCTTTACATGCTTAAAGGGTTCTCTGCATGGTGAATCTGTTCTTCAGATTGATGGAGAATGTGTTGTATACGGTTCTGTATATCACCAAAAAGGGTTCTTCTATTGTTACAAGCTTGACATCAATAGTAGAACCCTTTTTGGTGCTATATAAAACCTTTTTCAAAAAGGTTCTATATAGAACCATCTATAGCACATTCTCTATCAATCTGAAGAACGCTTTCACTATGCAAAGAACCCTTAAGCATGCAAAGGGCTCTTTGAATGGTTTCATGGTTCTATTTAGAACCTTTTTTAAGTGTGTACAGTGATCTAAAAATGTGAAATAATATAATAAACATGTTACATATTTCATATTATTCTGCAATAATTCTTTGCATCATGAAATGGTTCTTCAGATTGATGGAGAATGTGTTGTATATGGTTCAAAAGGGTTCTTCTATTATTACAGTGCCAAACTTGTAACAATTGAAGAACTCTTTTGGGTGCTATATGGAACCCTTTTCAAAAAGGTTCTATATAGAACCATCTACAGCACATTCAAGCACATTTTCCATCAATCTGAGAAACGCTTTCACCATGTAAAGAACCCTTTAATCATGCAGGGCTCTTTAAGTGTTCATGGTTCTGTATAGCACTGTTTCCTTTACTGAAGAACCCTTGAGGAACCACCTTTTTTAAGAGTGTACCACTATGTCCACTCCATTTCCTAATTTTAATATTTCCTATGTGGGTGTAAAGAATAACATGCATATCGCTGTTGTCGAAACAAAACCTCGTATCTCCAAAATGGTAACTTTACAGGAGAGGGAAAAAACCTACTTTACTTTTAGTGTAAGTCAATGGAACCAGACTTTTTTCCAAGTCATTTTGGTCTGTTTCTTTTGGTCCATTCATCCTGAAATTTACACACAATGTAAAGAGAAACAGGCGTTTTCAAATTATGTCAAGAACTGAAAAATGACAAAAAATGGAAATATGAGGTTTTGTTCCGACAGCAGCGATGTACCTCGTTAAACTCTATTTTTTAAAAAAGTTAAAAGAACGTTCATTTAATGTTGCACGTATAATGTATCGACTAACATTAGGAGAACCTTTACATAACGTTAGCCAGTTGTGGGAACGTTCCCTGTCAGCTGGACCTGTCCAAACATGCTTATAGAGCGTAGCTGCTTATATCCCACAGTTCTACATACAGCATAAGTGGATACAGCAGGTGATGCGGTAATGACCCTCTTGACATCTCAAATGAACAGAAGCCATCTGATGCCTCTTAAGAGCAGCCTGCTGGGTAGAGGTGATCAGGTTCATGTGAAAAACACCTTGAAAAACCGATCTCAGAGAAGTTTAGGGGTTTAGAGTCACGAAACAGGTGCACCAACAAGCATGATTGGCGTGTATTTTTATGAACATTGTTATTTTACATGAATTTACGTCTATTTACACGTACAGGCAATTCTGCTGGGATCTAATTAGCACAAAAACAAAAGCAGAAATTGAAACCCAGTCAAAGACATTAAAAAACATCCTAGATTACAATGCTAAGGGCAACTTAAGCACACCTCGGTGGGCTGCAGCGCTAAACAGCAGTTTAAACTGATTCCATGGTAATAAACACTCTAACTATGTAGATAATCAGAATGGAAATCAAAGAATTCATCCTGAGCCAATTCTGTAGGTGAAAATTAAAGTAACGAGCCTCGAGGCTGAGTGTGATGAGCCGCAGCTCTGCGGTTCCTCTATAAAATCATTGTAAACGTATATCAAACAAGCTGTTTTCTTCACAGGCTTGAGCTGCCAGCCTGGATTCAAGCACAGCTCACAGTGAACCCACAATACGCACTGCGACAGGCATGAAGTTTGTCACTTGTAATAAAGTGCAAAGCACTGCACCTTTCATAGAGGCTAAGTCACGGAACCGAGAAGTAATAAGACCTGTTGTCTGGACAATTGTCTTTGTTCTGCTGGGTCTATTTTTGTACCGAAGTTCTCACACGTCTCCTCAGCGTGTCGATTAAAAGGCAGTTTGTCTTCAGATCTCATTCTGAAGTATTTTTAACGCTAGACACATTCAACAGGGCACCGCTATGAGAGCATGCAGCCAGACTATCACTGTCAGTGCGTTTTGAGACCAAGAGAGCGGAATATATTTAGTCTACCCCTCATTCAGCATGAGTTTAAGGTCATGCAAGGATTTCTGAATGAAATTAAACTCTTTCTGTCAGTTTTTCCAGAGCTGGAGTTACAGAAGAGACACAGGAATACATTCCAGTGTCACCCAACTGAATTGGTGGCCTTATTAAGACATTTGTAATATAAACAGTAGAGGCCCCGGTATAGATCCCTGAGGTACGCCATTCACAATTTCCAAAAAACTACACACTATGGGTGGAAAATATGACAAAATCTTATTAATATTGTGTTATTTTACATCACAAGAGGTTGATGGATATGGTAAGGATTTTTAGAACACTGAACAACTGCATTATACCATTATATAGTAACTGCATAAACTGAACAAGCAGCCGACTGGAGATCAGTTCATCTCATTCACTTTAGTTTTTAGTTTAGTTTTTAATTTTTTCCTGTTATTTATTTTATTTATTTACTGTTTTGCAAATGTTTTCAAAAAAATGTTTATACTCCTAGAGTTCCATATCTTCTTAAAGGGGAACTCCATCAATTTTTCAAAAATTCTGCAAAATTAAATGGTTAATATGTAAACAG